AAGGCTTTGGGGGATAATATTACCTGTGATAGCAGTGACTTTGTTGAAGCAACTGCCCTGAAATTCACTTGGGTTTTCTCTCATTCTCAGATTCTGTTCCAAACAAGTAGTCTGTAAATCCAAATGGATTACCAGTGTGCTATAGGGTTTTTTATAGAACATTCTAGGTTTGGTCTACATCAACAGTAGTTTGCATAAGTTAGTCTTGGTTACCATCTAAAATATTTTTAAATGTTCTTTACATGAGAATTTATGTTGTATTTCTAAACTTTTAGGGGCTTTATCTATTTTTCTAAGTCAGTTAATTGTACTTTTAAAGAAAGTATTTTGTATCTACTTTTGTAACTTCAGAATAAAATATATTAAAAGAAATGACTGATTAAAGTATGTGTCTCAACACTTTTTTTTTTTTTAAGATTTTATTTATTTGAGAGAGAGTGCACATCCATATCCCCCGGAGTGAGGGGGGAGGGACAGCAGGGGAGGGAGAGAGGCAAGCAGACTCAGCACTGGCTGGATCTCCTGACCCTGAGACCACGACCAGAGCCCAAATCTAGTCAAACACAAAGCCGACTGAGCCACTCAGGCGCCCCTCACACTTATTTCTATTTAAATGTGAAACTTAAGATTTTTGCTTCTATAGAAGGTTGTCTTTGCTTATCATTTAGTAGCTAAAATGTTTCCTTAACTCTTAGAGGAAAGAGAAGTCCCTAAATAAACTACAATACCAAGGACCCACCCCCAAGAAACAAACTAGACCTACAATTACAGTGGCTAAAACCCATCCCAGACAAAAAATTAGTAGTCTCCTGCACTAACCAAGCTGATCTCTTTTTTGCATATTCCTGGTTGTGGATTGAGAAAAGGGAAGAGGAGAGAATGGACTCATGATTTTCTGACCGTGAACTGAATGCTCATCATAAGACCGCCCACCCCAAATAGCCGGTTTTTGTTCTCGTAGGAGAAATACGAGACTGATTTTTAGAGGTCCAAATTACGGGTGCCTAATTTTAATTCAAAATAGCAATGCTAGAATTGTTTTGACCTTTTGATTAGAGTTAAAATTTAGAAGTTAATATGGCTAAATAATATGGGTTAACACTCCTATTTTGTATAAGATACAAACTCTTGATCAGTTTTGGATTTTTTTTGATTGTTAATAGGATTATAATCGCTCACAAAAATGTAAGGATGTCTAATGTCTAGGTTTGAAAGCTATTTTAAACTTTATAAATGAGTAGTAGAATAACCCAAATAATCTTTGGGAGGGCCGGAGTCAGGCTTCAAAGCTACAGTGTCTACACCATGTCTCAGGCCCTCTAGCTAATAACTGGGCTGAAGGCCTTGGAATGGACACTACAGCCTGCACCATTATTGCTGACCACTAGATGTCAGTCTCTGCGTCAGTGCCTCCCAAAAGCCCGATGCATCAGCCCTGACCAGAATAAAGAATTTTACCTAAAACCGTCTTCCTTTCCTGTGTCTTATAATAAAAAATGTACATGGGTGACAAAAACAAACAAACAGACAAAACAAAACACAAACACATAATGGGCACCTCAGATTTGGTAGATCCTAGGTCATATACCTCTGTCCTGGCTGCTAGAGAGGCTGGGGAAGTTTCTGGATTTTACTTGTAGGTTTAGAGTTCACAGCAAAATTGATGCTGGTTGTTCGAAAAACTTGGGACTGGCTCCTGCCCTGAACTTTTTGTTCCTGCTCTGTGAAAAGATAAGGGGGTTTTCACTAGAATGTAAGTTTTCTGGGCACACTGTTCAGCTCAACGGACATTTTTTGTAGCTATTTGCTAAGTGAAGGAAATCAATTACTGATTCAGATTCTGGTCAAGTTCTTGTGGTTGATGAGTACTTTAAATACCACTTCTTTAGGGGAGCCTACCTGTTTAGGGGAGTCCTTCAGCAGGTTATCTTTTTTTTTTATTAACATATAATGTATAATTTGTTTCAGGGGTATAGGTCTGTGATTCAACAGTCTTACACAATTCACAGTGCTCACCATAGCACATACCCTCCCCAAAGTCCATCACCCA